GGGAATAGATTGTCGTGAACGACATCTGTATTAAAGGTATAAGAACAATTAATTTTTACTTCCTTTCCTTGGGAATTCCAGGGGCACCCAACGTCAATTTTCGGAAAATATCTGTTCGGAAGACGATTTGAGATCTAGAATTTTCGGAACATTTGTTGTAAAATTTCTTGCTTGTCTGTCTCTCCTAGGATTTTCGAACATCTACAAAATGGTATTATTGCCCATTTTTAACGAATTTTTAACCTAAAAAGGTCACCTAGAATTTTCGGGAGCCTTTTTTCTGGCTGGAATTTCGAAAAGGTAAGTTTTGATCGCAACAATTTTCGAATCACTAGACTTTCAGCTAGGAAATCCGAACAGATGAAAAATTTTTAGGGGATAAAAATATGCCTACATCTACCTTTTAAATACTAAAATACTTTAACAATGCTGTGTTTAAGTGGTTTTGAACTATATTCTCGTTAGGTGCCCCTGGAATTCGTTGAATTTATAATTCTACAATCTATTATCTAACATTTTTGTCCTCCAAGTTGCTTGAACTAGTACTGCATGTGACTCTCTCGGACTACTCTGCTCCAATCAGAACTGAGGAAAAGCGGAAAATGGAACGCAGATAGAAGAGTAAAACTTACCACTAAGCTGCTGGCTACGTTCCTCAAAAACCTGAAAGGACATAATAAGTGACATTCTTTAATTTATTTAACCGTTCTGCAATCTACTACTGTGGTATCCTTTATTATTAATGCACTGTCTTCAAACCCTCACCTATATAACCTCCAAAGTACAGCTTTACGAAGCCGACGAATGCTAAGATATGTGTCAGTTACGGTCGCGTAATAATTAACCGTGCAACACTTATAAACATAAAAGCTTCGGACGACTTTAACACACAAGAGGTCCTCACGAGCTTCACAGCAAAAGAGAGCAAGCGCAGCTAGCTTTCTAGGCCACAAGGGCTAAATCCGAACCTTCCTCACTTGTGGGGAAGGGAGAGGGGGGGGGGTTCAGGCTTCAGGTATACGAAAGGGGTACCTTTTCTGTCCAAAATGGTATATAAAAGGGTAAGCGGTTAGACCTCAGGGCGGAACCTCCCAGTATAAAACTTCATTGAGTATACCTTTCCGGACAGTTTAAGCAGCTTTTTGCTTCCAGGACCTGATTTCCTATTTTAAAAATACGACTTACCACACTATAGGTTTACTGAGTGGGGATCGGTAAGTGTTATGTACACAACGAAAGATTTCTCCCCGTTAGTTGGAAAGTGTTACGAAATTCCACTTGTGCTGTGTGTTGGTCATTTATCAGGCGAACTTTCAAATGAGCCTCAAACGGAAAATCTTCTTCATATAACCTGTTAAAAATACAATAATATACACATAATTTATACAACTAATTCCAAAAACCATGTCCTCGAAAGATGCTAAAAAGAAAAATGGAAAATGGAAAAATCGAAACAGGAATAAATTAGACATACTAATAAACCTAAATAGGGTACATTCATTCGCTAAATGGGCGATTTTAAGGTGTTAAAACAAATGCAAATGTGAAGAGTCGTTAAAGTTCTCCCACAGAGGTTTCATTTAAAAGGCTGCATTATTCACTCTGAAAATGAAAGGGTTAACAGAAAGGTTTCATTACACACTTAGAGGATTCAAAAGGTCCAAACATTCCATTATGTCATTGTTCACTTCTGCTTTTCCTATTCTTGTTAGTGCGATCATGAGTTTCCTAACGGTGGCATCTTTTCCTTTTTGCTGACACCAGGCTCGGAGTGTTACATAGCAGCATTCCTCGTCATCAATTTCCTCCACTGATATATTTTTAATTTTTCTGTCCTTAAGCTATACTTTCTTAAAAGTGGATGAATGTCATACATCAACTGCTTGGCATCTTCGTCAACTACATGAATAATTTCATTGGTTACTAGTCCTTCAAGCTGTGCCACTGCTTCTGACATGCTAACACCAAGAATTTTAGCAGCAGTGGAAGCAGTGAAGGGCCCATGAAACAAGGATACTGATACAGCAGAAACCCTCAAAGTGTCAGATGGTAAAGTATAGAACATTTCTCTGATCACTGATATTTGCTCATCATCAACGCCTTCTTCTTCTGAATTAAAAGGTCTTTCTTCTCTATCCTCTTCATATTTTAATTTCAAAGGAACTCCAGCTTCCTCTTTAGAGTTCATTTCTATCTCATCAATAAGATCACTGGGAGATTTTCTCCTTTGTTTCAAAATTGCAGCTGTTCCTTTCAATAGCAATGGAACTCCTTTGCAGATGTCAAGAAGCTTCTTCTTCTGCTGTGCCTCAACATGAAATGTTTCTGTAGGTAGCAAGATTTTCTCTGAAAAATTATTTGTAAGAGGTTGCAACTTAAAATCAGACACCTTCTCTGAATTATTCAGCTGAGTCCTTGAAGTCAGAAGCACGTGTAATGAACCTTTCTCACCATCAAACTCTGACAGCTTTCGCAGAAAGTATAAAAACTGTGTTCTTAAGTTCTTTCCCTCCTTTCCCTTTCCTTCAGTGAACTGATCCACATTGTCAAGAAGTAAAAGAATAGGAGGACCTTTGCTTGTCACTTTCAACAGGTCATGAATTCTTCCAACAACAGTACCCATATCTAAACGATTGACGGGGATGCTTAGGTCAAGTTTACCCATAATGTTCAGATAAACTGCCGTCATATCTTTAGCTTCTCTTAAATCAAAGACATATTTCTCACCACCCCATTTATCACAAATGTTCCTAGCAAGAGTTGTCTTTCCCACTCCAGCGGATCCATACAAATTAACAACAAAAGGCTTCATTTTAAGTTTTTCCGTAATCTCCTTGAACTCCTCAATTCTTCCGTGTAATTCCTTTTGCGGCTCAGGCTGTGATGGGTGGGAGGTCTCAAAGTCTTCAACTCTTTTGTTAATGTCATGCTCATTGTTTGATCTTGTAGCAATGAACTCCTTGATTAGAGTCAGTTTTTTACTCGAGACATAACCGAACTTAC